TTCCGGACTGTTCCGCCTGAAATTAAACACTGCCTGCATCTTAAGACCGCAAATCAGAGGTGTGAGCCAATACTAACCAGTTAAAAATTGTGCAACATCGGGAACATTAAAACATATTAACAGCTTTGGTTTGCTTTATGCAAATAACAGTGTGTAGAAATGTAAACACGAATGGAATTTAAAAGAGTCCGTATTTTTAAATAACTATTGAAGAAACAAGTTATTAAACTCTCTGTCGAGTTTATATTCTATACTAAACCAGAGGCCGGCAAACAACATATCAAGAAGATACGTTTTTTTTCGAATTCGGCACGTGGCGAACAACGCCATGACGCATTCCTCAATGAGCCGCATTTGGCTCTGGAGTTACACGTTGCTTCCCCCTGTAATAAACAGACTCCGTTTTGCATGAATGTCAATCCATTGAAATGTTGTTTTATATATATCTCTGTAATAACAAAACCGTGGATTGTATATACGGTATGCTTTGGCTTCTCAGGGGGATGATAGGCCATGGTCAATACTAATAATGGAGTGGCAGCCAGAGAATGGAATGCATCCGAGAGTAAGTCCACTGAGGATATGGAGCAATGAAATCCGTTCATGTGCTCGATTGATGCTTGTTGCATCACACGTTTGTGAGAGGTGGGCAGCAGTTTGGGTAGGCTTTCATCCAGCAGTGGATTTATCATGGCTGATAATTATAAATATTAGGCTTTACTATGAAGCCTGTCTACAGGAACGTACTGTATCTCTCGGAATGCTGCTGTGGGAGGTTTACTGGATATTTTAAAGGGCACTGATGATAAATACGGATACCTGCACGGTAAAACTTCGTTATTCATTTAGGTTTGATCTTTAAGGCCTAGATATAACCTATGTAATGTTGGTGCAGTCCACGAAGTGCAATCGTATCGAGGGCTATCGATCGCACCACTATTGGCAGAGCGTTGCGTCGTTATTGCACTATGCAATCAGTCGCAGCGCGCTTGCGCAATCGCGACCGATTGAGCCAGTTATTATTTTTGTTTATCAACAAAAATAACCAAATGCGTGTCAAGTTACGTCTATTTTGTTTCACCAGGTAGGAACTCAAAGACCAGGATAATATAATTTTCACGAGTGACCTGAGTCACCAAAATGTCAAAAGCAAAAGAGAGCACAGCATTGAAGCACGTGTGTGCGTGCAGGTATGCGTTTGTCGTGGTGTTTGCTCACGGTCAACACCAGTGACGATTATCTGAAACGGTCCTGGGCCTCCCCTAGGTCGACTCAGCCTCGAATGAGTACCTGATGCAGTGTGTAAACATCGCCAGTCGAGAGACAAAGGCGGCCGGTGTGGTGTTGGCCACATACACCCTCGTGTGCCGTTCAGGCCTTAATAGGGGCTCCCTAACAGCAATTGCCCAAACAGTTTCTTAAAGTCTCTATGGGCGGGGGGGGGGGTCTTGTGTTTTGTGTGATTGGGTTGGCGTGTGTATCCAACATCGCCCCCTACTGCAAGCCTTAGCAGGTCCCGCCTAAAAAAGAGTTGAGCCTCATATGCGAGTGAGTCTTTCCTGGGTAAAATAAAGACACTAAAAGATCGTGAGTCAAAGGGCTGTGGAAAGTTTCCCCTATGTGCCCTCGCTCAACAGATAGACAACATCGCCTGTGATGAGCCGTGGCGGTTCACGTGATGAGCGGTGGTGGTTCATAACGCAATGTGTTACCACTGCATTGCGTTATGAACCCGACGAAGTGAAATCTGAACTGGTCTTGAGCACAACCGTTCACCAATCCGCACTGACCAGGGTGGCGAACTACGATCAAATAATCCTCCATGATCCGCAAAGAGAGGCGTGAGTCCATCATTCAACAGAGAATTGCCAAAACAAAGAGGGGTTTGATACGTACACCGTGTACTTTGGGGCCCAAATAAAAGTCTTGTGAGCAACCCCAAGAGCCTCGGCGTGTCTGAGCGATTGGATCATTGCTGAATTCACGCGCGTGCATCAGACTACAACCACCGCCATCCTGTTGCAGTGTACGGCAAGGGGAGGGGGAATTGTGTGGCTTTTGTCAAACTCTCTGGATTCCTTACTGCAAGCATCTAAGCCGTACATGGCAGGTTCTCGACGGGACCATTTTCTACCCGGCAAGATTGCGTTTTTTTAAACGTGTCGCTTCTGTACTCGTACTCGGCAATATTGATGGGGAGATTTTTTGTGTGTTTTGTTTTTGTTGCTGCTGCGGTACTAACGCATCACGGATCTCCCGTGTGAAATAGCTGGGAAACTGGCTGAACTGGACCATCCGTCTAACACATGAAAATATAAACTAAACTAACTAAACCGCCACTGCAATGGCATCTTACAGTGACAGAAGTCACTGTGGCGCACGTGTGGAGGCGGGGGGGGACTTTTAAAAAGACTTGCCAATTGCTGCAACCGCCGGCGCCGTGGGATGTTGGACTGGCGACCTCTGGATTGCAAGGCCAGTGTGATAATAACCATTACACAACCAAGGCTATTTATTTTCTTATACTTTACATCACATGAATTCAGCAGTGTGGATTGGCAAATCACTGTAAGTTATTTGTGATTATTATTTTAGACGTGACTGTTATTTCATCCGTTGTTCTCGTTTCCTCCAAACTATTAGGCAATACGAGCAGTTGCAAATTTATTATTTTTTCCTTCTGATTTCGAGGGCGTTAGCTTTCAAACAAGCAGCTGAACATTTGTTTTTAAAAAGCACCATATGCATGTTCCACCGTAAATCACAGTTGTGTTGTTTTGTGTTTGTGCGAAAGTATGTTACATTGCACAACATTGTTATAATAACCAGGCGCTCGTGCTCATGAGAAAACGCATACCCGCACACTCAACTTTGTTTATGGTAGTTATCAAGCCACCATGAACAAACAAAAATTACCCTTGCTGGATCTGGCGTATACACGTGATTGATCGGCCCTCTCAAATATAAATCCACGTATCGTCACAACAACCTAACTTTACATTTATCCAATACACTTGTCTCGTTTCATCTCACCAATCATCTTGCACAATAGTTAGTTCACTGTACAGCGCATTGGTTAAGACGCTTTATAAATGTATGATAAGATAAATTACTACGTGCTGTCACCATCCTAAAATCTCAACCCGATCCGGAGGAACGCTGTTATGCGAACAAAATGGAAACCATCCGGACGTCTATAATAAACGTCTCATTCGGGGCCCAAACATCGCTTTTCCTGGCTTTGACATTCATCGAAGACACGAGTGGAATCATCAACTGTATCAGAACATCAACAGACCGATACACATATGTATCTCATTTGTAAAGGGAAAATTAAAGACAAGCCTTAGTAGGGCGACTGTAGCCATTGAAAGAGTCTGCACTCCTTCAATGGGGCAATAGTAAACCTACATGAACACTCTCCTGCAGCCCTCCCGTGGCTATCCCATCTCGACATTGCCATTTAGCTCCTGAAGATATTGCTGTTATAGGCCAGTATACAATTAATATGTAGCCAATAACATTCGTGAAGACAATGGATATGTAATGATCAAAGTTAGCCTGTTCTGTTTTCCGTTTTTTTTTAAAATAAGATTGATTGCAGAGTCATCACATAATTGAGCTATTACATTTCCGTGTAAGCATAAAACAACAAATCTGCTAATTTTGTTCCCATGGCCGGAGTCTGCTTCTTTGATGATGTCCGCAGTTATACCATCTTGTCCAGGGGCTTAATACTATCCACCAAAGTGCCCTAACTATTGCGCCATCGCACTGCACCCTAGCCATACAGAGGACAATTCTACCAAACCATTGTGCACACAACAGGCGTGCGCGACTTATGAAAGGGTAATCGGAAACACGTTTCACATGCAAGTGAATACCGTATTAGCCAACACGAATGCAACATTTAATTCAATAAAACAGTCATTCGCCGTAACTTGAGCCGTTCAAATGTGAAATGCGCAGTGGAAGCTTGTAAAATGTGGCGTGGCCCACGTGCTTGTGTCATTGGAAGAGTCGCCGCGACACCTGGCGTTCGTACCGAGTCTTTACGTGTTCAGCTCTTTTTGAAACCACTTCAATGATGCGTCTTTCCTGCGCGCCAAAAACAGGATATTGTGTTTGACCCTATTTCACTAAGCTGGCTGGTCAGTAAGGGTTGGTGGTTTGGGTGTTCCTTCAATGGAAGACCAGCAAACATTGGTTAAACTCTCTCTTAAAATTCCTCTCGTAGCTAACAGACCTCGATATTGGCATTTAGCTCTCGAACATATTGCAATACGCAAGAATATAATATTATTTGGATGCCAAGGGACCGGTACAGATATCAATCGTCACTGATGTTAAGCCGTGGCCCGTAATTGAGCCCGTAATCAAACTCAGGTAGCAGTGTTCATATTGTAATGTGCTAACCACTGCGCCACCGCTCTATATACCCTTCAATAAATAAATATTCGTTTAAAATAGTATATGCCGGGAAAAAAACATACGTTTTGATGTGCAATAAAAGCACGCAGCTTGTGCAGTAAGTAAAACCCAATTCCTAAACAAGTGCATCGTTAAGGAACTGCATTGTTCTTCGACAACTGTTGTGTTTATGGTTTTATGCAAAACCCAACTACAGTTCCAAAACATGTTTTATTCAGAAACTGTTTATGATTTTTGCATCATGCGCAAAGGCTGCGAGTTTTGTGCACGTTTCGGTGCGTAGTTTGAAACGTATGAGCCTGTTCTATCTTATCTTAATTGACGGAGTGTTTTAAAGTCTACTCTCATCAGTCGTGGCTCATTGGGTTCATACGGGCGTGTGTGTTTATTATTGGTGCTTACATTGCATCAAATATTCCGTCTGAGAGCAATTTTAGCGATTTCCAAATAATATTCAGTTTTTTTTATTTCAGTCAAAACCGCGCCATTTTTGTTTGAACCAAACTGCGGCCTCGACAATTTTCCTTCTGCGGTTCCGTTGATTGGTCGAGAGCGCCCCCCCCCCCCACCCACCCACGTGATTCCGCCACGACCAATCGCGTGCAAGGACGGCGGCGCGTGCGTCTGCGATCTTCTTCAACGTTGCGGCAATGAGCTCCAAGCCGGCGTGTCTCTTCGCGCTCAGTTCTGCGGCTGAAGGTAAAATGAAATCAATATTTAGCAGACGTTTTGGGGGGGTTAATGGTTGCTTTTTTTGTGCTCGGAGGAGATCGCCAGATAATTGACCATGCGTTGCGACGCTTTAAAATGGATTAGGCCTAGTCCCGTGAAGTGCGTGCCGAGCTCGACTAGTTTTCTCGCCGGGCCGGCTGCGGCTCTTTTCGGCCAAACCGAGTTGCTCTGAGACCCCCTTCCCCGGCGTTTGGTTTAAAAGTTGTTTAAAGTAAGACGTGACCAAATAGCTGTTACCATCTAGATATATTATTAGTTGTGTGTCCCGGACTGTCTCACACTCGTTTAAATACATGTCGTAAGGACCGAGACGCGGCATAGAAACTTATTTACAAGATAAGTATGTGTTTTTTCTTGCTTCTGTTAAAAATACACTTTAACGACACATTTCTATATTTTCGCTATCTAACCCCAAATCTGTTTTATTATGGATGATATTGGTCGCGAAAGCTTACGTGTTAAACCAAAAATACAACAGTTTTGTAACGAGACTGGCTGCGTTATTAGCATTTGCCAAAGGTTATGTTTTCATCAGCAAGTTGGTTAAGTTAAGGCAGTTTTAGACTTGGACCCATTGCGCTAATGGTTTTTTTTATATGGTCCAAACTTGTACGCAAATTTTTTAATTCTTGCTTTACAGGTACTGCATTCAATTGGTCCTCTGCCAGTGTTTTGTAAATACCTAAAATATTAACATGGTAAATAAAATAGATAAAACTTGCGCGTCTTGCAAACACGTAGTGAGATGAAACTCACCCACAACGAAGTGTGTGTGTGAGTCGTAAGAGATTTCACAGTAAAGTAAAAAAAAAAACTGTGCTGTACTCGGATATGACCTTCTTATTGGAACACAGGTTTCCCTCGCTTTATGCGGGTGCAATTTCGTGTTTATGCGGCTCGCCTACGTATACCTAAAATTCACTCTATGCGGTTTGAGTTCACTCGTATGCGGCTATGCGGGCTGACGTGGGGGGCAGCATTGTATACTGTACGCGCTTTTCGGCAGGCATCTGTCTTATCGTGCAGTTTCACTTTGCGTGCGATTTTTTTTGGAACGCATCTACTACAACGACCGCATACAGCGACGGAAACCTGTGTAAAAAACGAGGTTAACGTGCATGGTTTCTGAGTAGATGCGGTTCAACATGGCGCACTCTATATTGCAGGGAGAAATAGGTTGAGAACCACTGATAACATTTGTCACTCGATAAAATATGATGAAAATCGTTTAATTATAACTGTGCAATGCCCTCTCCCCGCAGGTGTGTCTGCGCAATCCTTTGTCCAATCGTACACCCTGTGCAGCTCTGCGTTTACGCTGCATATTGCCACACCTGGGGTGAGTGTGACGTGTCTTCATATCTGCACCCTTCCTTTGCATGTACAGCTGGATTAAGGCCGCGTCAGGTCATGCAGGCAGTGAGGGTTATTTGACCGTACTTAATCATACTGATCAGTGCTGGTTGGTACATTTGGGGGGAGTACAGAACAACAACAGTAGATGCCCTGCACTACCCACAACACTTATTACACCTGTGTTTAGTGTTTGGTGGTCACTCATCCAAGTACTGTCCAACCTCAATCCTGCATAATTCTTAACTGTTCCATGCTTGTATTGTTATTGGGGTTCCTCGCACACAGAGCCAGACACTTAGAAATTAGCACTCCAATGCAGGCCAAGCGTCCCGATACTGGCCCCTCAGGTTTGAGGCTCAAATTAAGCTTTACTGGATGAAGAACATTATTATATTATGTGTATGCACGTGTCTCATATGTTGTGGGCGTCTCTGGTCTGGGCTGGTGCATGCTTGCCTTTCGCAGGGAAAGCTGCCAGAGTTTGTCCATCAGGATGAGGCTTCTCTTCGTTGGCTGCAGGACTTCTGCACAAAACCGCATTCCACCCCACTCCGCCTGGAGTCCGTCGACGGTACACATTGACCTCTAAGCATAGCGTATAGCATTACCCATCGAGTGTGGGTTCATTGGGATGGGTAGTGCGGTTGCGCAGAAGTTAGTGGGGGGGAGTGGCAGTGTCGTGGTTAACGCGCTGCGCTACGAACCCGGTAACCTTCGTTCAATTCCCGCTCCTGCCAACACCAGTAACGATTATCTGAACTGATTCTGGGCCTCCCCTAGGTCGACTCACCCTCAAATGTGTACCTGGTGCAGTATGTAAATATTGCCGTTAGGGAGACAAAGGCGGCAGGGCGTGGTTGCTGGCCCACCCACCCCTCGCGTGCCATGCCGGCCTTCATAGGTGCTCGCTAACAGCACCTGCCCCTACAGTATGTTAAGGCTATACGGGGGATCTTTGTCTTTATAGTGCGGTTGTGCAGTAGTTAGTGCAATGCACTACGAACCTGGCTCCCTAGTTTGATTCCTGGCTTTGGCTAAAAATCAGTGGCATGTGGTATCTGAACCAATCCTTGTCCTTCCCTAGGTCGACCCAGGCTTAAAAGAGTTCCTGGTGTGGTGTGTAAACATCAGCACTGGGGGTCACAGGCAGCAGGGCTTAATACTGATCTCACCACCCTTTTGTGCACTCTTCCAGACTTAATATGTGCTTTCGAACAACACCCCAATATACTCTGAAGACTAAACAGATAATCTTTTTTGGAATATAACTTAATTGCGAGAGCAGCTAAGCTTCAAGTTGTGAGGTTGTGTGTTTAAATTCCAGTTAGGGTTAACATGGCTCATTAATTTTCCATAGGATGTCAATATGGATTGTCTTATAGAGGGGAGACACTTGTGGCTGCCATCATAATATCCACCACTGTCTCAGGACTGCCAGCGAGCAATGTCTGCTCAAACAAAACTTGCATGCCAACATTTTGGCATCTTTTTTTAAGTGTTGTCAAGGCTTTGAAGTTGCATAAATTATTATCACAGCACACATAATATAACAGCACAGAAATACAAGGTTTTGGTGGAAGAAAGTTTTGATTCCATGTAGTGTTATTCACATGCGTCTAGCGGTAGCATTTGATCCTTGGACTTAAACCCTAATTTGATTGCTTTTCTGTTTACTGCTGTGTACTCAGGTGCGAGGTACAATGCCCTCTTCCTTCCCAGCAGCCTCGGCGCCTTGAGCGACTTGGCACACAGCGGATACCTGGCTCAAATCCTGCAGCATTTTGTCGCTGAGAAAAGTAAGTGGCTGGAGTTGGGTGCGCATTTTACATGGTAGCTGTGACTTCATGGCGATGTTTCGTGGCAGTGTCAAAAGTGAACTCCAGCTCAAATCGTCAACTTGTGCCATTCGAGCATTTATCTCAAATCGCGAGTGTGCAACCCTGTTCGAGTGTGGGCCACATTGGGAATCTCGTCTCTCCCCACGGGTCGAGAGAGTCATGTTGAAACTGAAGGAAGGCAAAGTCATGGCATTCACGAATGTAGCACGATGTTCGTGAGAATGATATCTCGTGCACAAACAAAAGTGAGTGTGGTACACTGCTCCTCACGGTGGACGTCTGGTAGAGATACTTGCCGAGCATTTCTCATCCCCTAGTGCTGTGAAATTTTTTTACCTACCTTACGTTTTTGGATTGTATAAAACTGTAAGACTTTTCTCTGTGTTCCATGCATGCATTGCCTGCCCATCATTCAATACCAGAGCCCATATGTGCTGTGGGACACGGGGTCGCCGGGCTGTGCTGTGCACTCAAAGAGGACAGGGGCTGGGCGTTCCGTGGCTACAGCCTCACTGGGGTAACTCGGTCTTCATTTTGTCTAACAAACTACAACTGCAGAACGCTAACAATTGATATCAGGGTTTTGTCACTACTCTTTCCCTGTGCTTACAAGTAGCAGCAGTTTTGTAGGCAGTGATGGCTCTGAACTCGTAGTTTATGCTGGTGATTGCATGTTTTAGCAAGGTACAATGGGTTCCTTCCTGGTCATACATTAAGGTCATCTATCTAGCTATCTTTCATCTGTTATTCTCTAGATGCAGCTTAGCAAGTATAACTGCTTTCCTGTTGACTCAACCTTTCCTGGTGGTGCTCCGGTATCATTTCCTGTCTCTGTTAACACAGCCGTCGGTGTTTGAGCTGGTGAGGAAACCGGGTTTTGCTAACCTCCCTGTGATTGTGGAGGACTTCTGCAAGGAATCTGGAGCCACCTATAGCGGTAAATGCACCGCATGGCCAGTAGCCGTGCACAATACAAGCTGAGTTTACACTACCCACTTGTATCTGGAAAGGCCATGGAGGCTGAATTAGGCCACACCTACTTATGAGTCTCACCAGGCCATGCCCACAACCATTTGGCCATCCCACCTAGGAGAGCTGGGACTATTTCCAGGCAAGTGAGGTCTGTGGCGTCACACTGCTATGCGCGGGGTAGGCTGACCATGTGGTTTTGGCAGCTAGTGATTGAAAGGAAAATAGAGGGACTGAGAGCACAGTGGGGCTGCTGTTGGTGTTTAAATAACATGTACAGTCTGCTCTCCTATAACACGTGTTTTCATAACGTACATTTTATATAACGCTATGAATGTATTAGGGAACACATTTTTTATAACGTGGATGCGAATTGGATATAACGTGATTGAGTAAACAGAACTACATCGAGTGAGTAGGAATAAGCGGTTGTACTGTAGCATTACACAAGGCGGGATGCTGCTGGATAATTCTAGATGCTACCCATGCGCCTCAGTCTTTGTTCAGCCTGCATGCACATCTCACGTGTTATCGCGGGCTGTGCTTTACCCTATATTATATATTATTTATCATAACGAGATTTTTCCATAACGCGGTGTTCTTCAGGAATGCAACTACCACATTATAGAAGAACAGACTGTAGAAAATACAACATATACTTGAGCACACTGGGCAGTGTGGGTTGGCAAAGAGAAGAGCCAACTCAGGACCGGATCAGATATCATTCGCCATCGATGTTAGCAGTGGCCGGAAATCTAACCGAGATGTGCTTTGGTTCATTGCGCAGTGTGCTGATCGCTCTGCAACTGGTCCACCCAGCCAATATCGCCGTGTGTTCGCCATGGTGAATTGGCCGTGCGCGAGCGTATGCTCGCTAACAGTACTTTCCCCAACAATCTGTGAAGGCTATACGGGATATCTTTGTCTTTGCTCCTGCAGCCAGCGAGGTGGATGCCGTGCACGTGGTGATCGACCGACACGTCATCACGGGCCAGAATGAGCAGTCGACCGTCGCTGCTGCTCAGAACCTCGTTCTGCTGAGCAGCTCCAGGTGACGATGACAGCCTGCTGCTCACGAGCCCCGCTATCCTGTCGCGAGGAAGGCCGAGACAAATCTTGAGACTCAATGAGGCTTTCCTGGGCAAAGGGCAATATTAATATTGTTGGGGTGATACAGTGGTTAGCGCTTTGTGCTGTGAACCTTGCACCCTGACTTTTGATTCCTAGCCCTGGTTAAAATTGGTGGTGAGTGATATCTTGCCCAATGCTGGACCCCCTTCACCAACATGTGACTCATGAGACATTTCTTCCAAGACACTCTGAACCCGGCCACTTGAATTGTATTCCAGGTCATGGTTAACATCAGTGGTGAGTGGCATCTGTATGGCTCTTCGACAGCAGCTCGTACTGACTAGTACGGTGAAGTATAGTCCAACAGCCCCATGACAGAAGGCCATGGGGAAGCATTTACACAGCAGTGGAGTTAGAAAGAGCTATAAATTATGATTTTATTATTGCAATTTGGATTTTATTTAAAAACAATATTTTCAGGATGATGTTCATGTAACAGAATTATTTGGATTTGTTTAAACTTGATAGCTACGTGTCGCAGTGTGCCTCTAAGAATGTGCTCGGTGTCTCCTGCAGAAAATGACATCCCTGGAGAAGATTCACGTGAATGACCGTTACCTCTCATCACGATCGTCGTGTACACTACTCGTCATATCAACAAGACGACAGGTCCCGGTCTAGATTTCTAGTGTTGGGAATCGGACCAACAATATGCTCATTCATTTGGGATTGGCTTGGTTTTCCTTGCATCCATACCAATCTGAATCTCACTCTCTCTTTCCATCTGGCATCTCGCATGTGAGTTACTTGTCATTTTTTCTGTACGAGTGATGCAGTGGAAATTGTCATGGACAGCCACGTGTGTGTATATCGGTCATTGCAATGGGAGAAAATGTAATGGGGAAGAAATGTGAATGCGTAATTTGAAATGTAGGTTCCATTTACAGAATACAGCCAACTCTGGTGCATGGTTATCTTAACATGTTGTATGTTTACCTACATAGATTGGGGCTGAAGACGTACAATGTGTCTTATGGCTTGTATTTTTTTTATTATTTCTTAAAATGTATTTGTTTTACTTGTGTTTGTGGTCACGTGTTCAATGAGCCACTGCCCCTCAATGAGTTAGGAGCAACTTATAATTAAACCAATGTGCATGAAGATATTTTATTTATTTTTCGCAAGCACTGTTCATTCGTAACCCGCAACTTTTTGGCACTCCTCCGCACCGCCTGTGAAGGTTTCCTGGCTTGGTTTGGAAGTTGGTGATTGTGGTCTGGGATGTGGAGACCTGTTTGATTAATTTCTTTGTTGTGATAACTCTTTTTTTCGTGGCTTTTTTGTTTTGGTGCCATTTCTAAATGTGTTTATTCATTTTACATTTTGCTTGGTAGTAGGATTTTCATTTGCTACGTAGTGGCTGTAGAAATGATTTGGTCCTTATATATAATTAATGTACAGTGTTATGGGATGCTATTAGCATGAATGGCACTCCATAAAATGAAAGTATTATTAATCTACCCACGAATTATTGAGAAGTAACTTTTTAATCAGCAGTCTTGGTTGTTGGGGTTGGAATCGCACATTGGTTTCAATTCAAGTGCCAAAAATGCATCGGCATTACTAACAGATGTAACAACTTACAAACAATATATTAAGAGCCTTTACTAACTTACGTGCCAAATCATGTGCTGAATTAGCAGTAGAGTAATTTCCAAACTTGCAAGAAGGAAATTATATGCACTTCCTCCAGAGAATTGCTACGCTGTGGCTGTTCTCCCAGTTCTGTTTTCAACGTCGCCGAGGGCTGGACAGGTTTCCTGGCGGGTCAGGCTGTACGGAGGAGTCCCTCTGCAGCTGCGCGTTTCTGTCACGTGTCATCTTTCCACTTAGAGACTGAAGACAAAACTGTACATCGTGGTCGTTTACAGCTCGTTTAGTTGATTTCGTGCGTTAGAGAATGGCCCATGGAAGTGGCTTTCACAGAGCTTACCTCTGATGTCCCTTCAAATGATATTTGGTCCATACAGCAGGAGGCAGCACTTTTCTATCTGACCTGCGGCATGAGAGCGACGTTCATCGCATGACAAGCCAAACTGAATATACTCGGCCAAACTGATACACGACTGCCTGGAGAAAGCCTACATGTACCTAGCGCAGAAGGCTCAATTTAGTCGCTGCATGATAGGACAACCCACGTTCTGTCCCTGCATCGAGGTGTATTTACACGTGGTCTTGGTATGAGCCAATCACCTTGGAGGAACGTCACTGTTAACAGGCTCAGAACATCGCGTCCACCAATGGCTCGTCTGGCTTTAGCCAATGCACAAGAGCAGCCATGTGATGAAGTGGCAGTGGCAAGGGATGGTGGGGGGGGTGATGTCGTGAGCTTGAGCGGTGCCAAAGTGGTGGGTAGGGGGGCCAGGCCTGCAGTTGGCAGCCTTGGTGGTGAAAAATAGACTTCACACCCCCCCCCCCACAAAGTCCCTGTGGATACAGGTCGCAGTGGATTAACTTGACATAAGCGTGTGTATATCCCTGTGTGTGTGTTTATATACACACCCCTTTATCAATCAACTGCTGGCTGCAGGCCTTCCGACACCTGTTTGGTCATGGAGGGTATTGCTTGACCATATCTCACCTACCATGCTGCTCAAGTGCAGTTTGGTGTTTGTGGTGTGCCCTGGTTGAGATATCGCTTGCTCCTCACTGTTGTTCGCAGTGGCTGGGAACTGCGTGCGGTCGGTCGCTGGGGTCGTAGCACAGTTGCGCTCGCCGCTCGATCGAGAGATGCTGTGTACTTGAGGGATTGGGTTAGGCCACTGGTTCGGCAACCCAAAATAACAAGTCTTTTTTTTTCGAATTCGGTAAAAACAAAACGCAGTAATTCAAGAGCCGCAGTGCAATGTGGTGAATACTAGACGGTGGTCCTGAATGAATAACGCCGCAGAGCGCTCCTTAAAGAACCGCAGGTTGCTGATACCTGGGTTAAACGGTTGCGATCGGCAGGAGCGATTTGAAACCGTTTCATTCGCTCGTTAACCCCAAGCCTCTGCTTGTCCTATCCCCCCTCAGCCGCAGCTCCTCCACGCAGATAACGCCGATGCGTTGGCTGCTCAACGTCTTAAGAAGTCACCTCGGTCCCCATCCTTAGCCCCACTTCCCCGTCCCCTCGTGCACCCAGCATGTCACGATGTCATTTACCCCACCCCCCCCCCTTGTAATGTGGTGGTGCCAACAATAGCTGTGTATTTTGACGGGGGGGGGGGTGGAGGTATTGCCGTCTGAACGCGTGATGCTCCCATTGCCAGGGTAACATTTCTCGTTGTAGGGACGATGGTTTCGTTCTCAATCGAGGCCACGAGCAGTTTCCCAACTCGGGGGAAGCTTGTAAGCAAATAAGGGTGGAATGATTGTGTTGAATATAGCGGCCACTCGTCGCTGCAGGAATCATTTGAACACGTTGCGTGCAACATACACAAAATCAATTTTGCGCGCAAAAATATTTGATGATGAGATCGTGTAGTTATTGAGCCAATCGTAATGTGCCAATTGTCCCTTTTATAGTGTGAGTGATTGTAACTGTGCAATGTACAATTGAAAGTGGGGAGGATTAATGTGGTTTTTAAAATTGTGAAACGTTACGGTGGATGATTGTCTTAAGTGTTGATGATTTGTGTAATGTGCACAAGTTTTTTTTTTAGATAATTCTGCATTGATGCTAGACATTGTATACACTTTTAACACACCGTTGCAAAGCAAGTTATTTTCTTCGTTTTAAAATTGTAACTTATGGAGGAGAGTTTCTCAACTCTGTTCGTCGTGACTGCCCTACCCCCGCCGTACAAGCTTGCTGTGATGACCGACCATCCGGCAGAGGTCACAAACGGGTTTTGATTCCTTACCCATACCCGGCCGTACCTGGGTCGCAAATGGGTACCCGTACCCCTACCCGGCCGGGTACGGGTACCCGTTCCCTACCCGTACCCGTACCCTACCCGAAATGAGTGACAAACGGTTACTCACCAGTGACTCACGGCCTACCCGTACCCGTACCCGGCTGCACCAGGGTTGCAAACGGGTGCCCGTGCCCGTACCCAGCCGGGTACGGGTAGCCGGGTATCGGGTAGGGTACGGGTATCGGGTACCCGGTTGCGACCTCTGCCATCCGGCTTGATTGGATGTGAATGGAACGTACGGCAATTGACACGGCGACTGGAGTTCACAAACAATAGTGCGGATTATGCTAATATATTACATGAATACACGTAACTTTGTTTTGGATAAGGCCAGTTGAGCTGTGAAGCTCTTTATCTTAATTAGTTAATTTTAACCAAGAGTGAACTGCCCGTGGTGTAGTGTATCATGCATGACGGATGTATGTGCGTAGCCAAATGTGCTCATGGGAGGTGCGGGAACAGACAAGGCTGACTGCTGATCGTTTCACCATTAAAAACAGACGGCTTGTTCTCACTTTGAATAGTAACAGTTTTATTAATCCTATTCAAGCCAACACCGAGCAGAAAAAAAAAGAACTGCAGTGGGATGAGGGAAAAATAAAAGTTTTACTTTGCGTTTATCTACATTTGCGAGACCTCACGATCGATGAGCGGCGTGGCGTACAAAGCCCCGCAAGCGTTACCGCGCCGAGTGTCCACACAGCACGTGGTGGGGCAGACGCGCGTTTAAATAAAATGGTGTTTCGATTTAAAGCTTTCGTGACTGCAGGGATTCATCTTCTTGGTTCTTTCGGTAAAGTCACGTAGAAGGGAAATAAAATAATAAAAATAATAAAATAAATTTTATTTATAAATAAATTTTATTATTTTTAATAAAATAAATTTTATTATTTTTATTATTTTATTATTTCCCTTCTACGTGACTTTACCGAAAGAACCAAGAAGAAGAAAAATGGTGTTTGTGACGATGGTGCACGTGGTGGTGATGGTGGTGGCGTGAGGTGCGTCAGCCCCCGGGCAGATGAAGGCAAAGGACGAAAACGCCGCGGTGGTTTCTCCCGGCTCTCCTTTGTGCCTCGGATTTTTTTTCGTTTTTTGTTGTTATTGTTGTTGTGGTTGTGTTTTTCTGGGCGACTGCTGTGACGATGGGCAGATGTCGAGCCGTTGTAAGTTGTTGGTGAGGTGGCTCGCTGCCGATGCCACCGCCGCTGCCTCCTCCGCTGCCTCCGGCCGGGCTGCTGCTCCAGGGCGCGCCGCTTACTTCCATCGGCCGCCGACTTTCTTCCCTTTTGTTCCTTTCTTGCTGCTGCAGGGCCACGGAAGGGGGTGGTGGTGGTGGAGGGGAGGGGGGGAGGCATCGGTCAGGACCACTGTGTGTCTGTGTGTGCGCGCAGCGTGTTCTGCTCGTGTGCCGTTCCGGCCTTCGTGGGTGCTCGCTAACAGCACTTGCCCCAATAGTCGGTTAAGGCTACCCGGGGGGGTCGTGGTCTTTGCTGAGTGTTCGGCCCTCACGTGAAATCATGTGCGGTGGGTGAGAGCGCGGTTCTCCGTGGTTATTATTCTTTTACTAACACGATTACCGCTCGCAGGGTTATTGTTCTCGCGCTGCAGAATGGACAGCGATTTTGTAGCGTTGACTTTGTGTTGTTGTTTAATCGGGAATGTTGTGTCGAGTCTCAATGCGCTCTTGCGGGGGGTGTGGCGCGCTTGTCAGGAACGACTGGCAGTGCATCACATTTGTTCAACAAGACTCAACGCTGCTGATGAGACCCACAAAATATTTTATCCCGGCCCAGAAGGGTCGACTTGTCTGAACAAATTCTGCTCGCTAAGTCCACAAGGGGGGCAATCAGCTGGTGGACTATAAGATTGTTGTTTTTACGTGGAGACGTACGGGTTTATTGGTTTTATTTTGCAGGCTTGCCCTGCTTTTGGATATTTCCAATTCCACGTTTTGCGTGTTTTCATAAACGTACGCGATGGGGGTGTGCTGAGCACCTGTAATGGGATTTTACACACGCGACCACTTGAGTTACCTGTGCGTCAGATTTGCGGATCGGTGTTGGTGACTATTTAGCAAACAGTCGCTACTCTAACGTGTTGGGGCTCACGGCGATTCGACCGTGCAGAGATCACCAGTCTGTTGATGTTTACCCGCACAATTGGCTATGCTAATATATTTTCACATGATGCAAAATGTAAGCTTTTCTTTCAACGTGAGGCTAGTTAGTTTACCGATTAAAATTGCATTTGCTATCAAATAACATTTCACTGTGTATTGTGTCTTTGTTATAAAACAGTAGCAAAATGTGTGGCATTGAAAAGTCCAATATAGATGATCTAATTAAACGTTGTGAAAACCACATACAATGTTTCGTGTTAGTCAAACCCACAACACACCACATCATTAGTAGCGGTGTCGACTCATTAGTGCTTAAACGTAGTATGCATGGGATGCAAGGACTCGTAAATAAATAAATAAAATCGTCAATTTCATTCAACAAAACACCCTTTGTAATCTCACGTGGAGATTTTTTTTAAAAGGCACACAAACTCGATGGAATCAAACCATGCCTTTAGCCGCGCGTTTCTGTAAGTACAAAGTTGCAAGCAGCACGCGCGCGGACAAGCGTCGCTGGCCCAGCGAAGGCGTCGATTCCACTTTGCGCGCCACGTGCGTGTCGGGTAACGTCGACGGCCGTCGAGGCAACGTTGCCCCACATGATATGACCTTTGCAGACTGTGCGATGTTGGGCCTCCTGGGACTAAAGTCGTCCTCCGGGCTTTCGTTTAAAAGTAAAAATCAACTATTTTCAGGCCCGTCGGTCACGTACGCTACAACGAGTGGATGCACAGTTGACTTACCTGGGTAGGCATGTGTTGGCGCTCACACGTAGCGCCGACTGTCTTATCAAATGAACATTTGTTTGTTTTGCCGACCGATTTGTCAAAAAAGGGGTTCGCAGTTTCGCCGAGTAATCGTTAGCGGAGGATTTCTCTTTGTTAAGAACTGCACGGAATATTTTGAGTGTCGGTGAAGGATAAATCGGCTTGAGTCGAGAAGACGGTGGAAAGAAAAAAAACTCTGCGGACATTAAATCGTATTGCTTTTCTGGAATGCATTAATACGGAGGGGCAGGGATAAATATGAAAGTACGAAGGCGCGCAATTGTACAGCAAAGTAGAAAAGGACTCGTTCAAACGTAAGCCGTCATTATTATAGCCGTACTCATCAGACTCGTATTAAATACTGCAGAGGAAAAAGTGGTAGTGCATCATGAGTAGGATAATTCCGGGAGGGAGGGGGGGGAAACACTACAAATATAACTGAGAAAAATCACTGCAAGACAGCTTCAATCTGTTTGATCGTTAATTGGGGGACCGAGAATAGTTCGTTAACGGGAAGGGGGGGTGGGTTGGGGAGGGGGGATCTTTGTGTTCGTTAAGAAACAATGTTGGGGGGTTCTGGGTGGGGATACGGGTCGTGTGCTGCAGGGAGGGAGGGGTGTGATGCTGGCAGACTGCTGCTCCGCTACTTACAACTTCTCATGCTCGCTGATTCTGGCTCTGAGCAAATTAATCTGTAACCAACAACACAAAATGTGCGCGCACATATATTTCGCCGCGTGTTAAGTTCGCCGTGTTCGCTCTCGGCGTGAGACGGCGGAAGGGGGATTGTTGGCCTGAACTCCTCCAACGGGTCCTCGCCGGCCTTTGGATCTTCTTCTCTGTGTCTCGTCTCAACAAGCGTCGAGACGCGTTCTACTTACCCTGCCGCCGAGACAAAGCTCTTACCTGTGCAATCCTCAAGGCAAAGAGATGGGATTTTGTTGATGTTGTTGTTGTTGTCGCCGCCGCAGTCAATACCCAGGCATCCAAAACAAATCGGAGCTCGCGTCACAGATTTGTTTTGTGGCAAGCTTTCACTTGGCGTGATCGCTTGCACCCTCTCTGTGTCTGTCCCGTCACCGCTGGCGTGGCGTGATGGTTGCTCATCACGAGCATGCACGTGGGCAATTTAAATGGAAATTAAAGTCGCGTTGTTCCGCATGCAGACGAGGCTCGTGATGTCGCATCATGCCTGACACGCCATCACTGACACGTGGACGTGGCACGGTACTTACTACTTTGACAGCTCATCGCAACGATGAGTCAGCGTATTGATCTGTTGGGGAGGAACATTGTTGCAACGGGAGAGAAGGTTATATACACGAATGCATTTCCACTTCATTGTTGTTGCTGCTGCTGCTGTGTCACTTTAGGCACCACATCCTAAACTCCAATGCTCATGATTATAGCATTTTTAAAAACATATATAAATGCTCATTCAAATGTAAGGTCACCAGAAAAGCACACGTGTTAAAAACTAAATCATTTACAGTCCTTTGTTCAATCACTGCTGGATAAAGGCCCTCGTGTCTCTTGGTCAAAGGGGTTCGCAGTTGATCATACTTCATCACGCTGGTCAGCCCCAAATTTATGAGTGTGCCCAGGACAAGTTCGGATATCACTCGCCACCGATGTTGGCCATGTGCGGGAATCGAACTCTGTTGGCCAGATTCATAGTTCGGTGCGCTCACCACTGACACCACCACCCCACCGTGTCGCACGGCAACCGGTAAATGTGAAACTCTGCTGAGAAGTAGGAGCAAGAACACTGCATTTTGGGATGTGCTGCTTTAAGGAAGCTCGTGGCGATATTACATCCCAGGCCAGGGATGATAAACTCTTGTGAGGAAGGAGATGGCCGTTTCTCAACATACATCAAACCTTCTTTCCTTCATGAGTTGTATAATGGGAGCTGCCTGAGAACAAATACATTGTTTTTCTTGCAAGGTGTTATCCGTTTATAATCCAAAATTAAGCACAGCCATCGTTCCCACGTTATGTTTTCGTGTTTTTAAGATTATGCACACACATTATTCAAAAAGGCTTAATTATGCCCACATATGCACATTTCAGCTTCGTGACATTTTGATGAGGCCTGTCGAAAGCCTGACTCCTCTGCCTATGGCTTTCTCGATGAAATGTTAGCAATTGTGCCTTACCTTGAAAAATATATTTTTTTCTTCAATAAAAAAATATATACTTCTCTTATCGGAGCTCCCAGTCATCCATATCCCATTATTGTGTCCACCATATTGAGATGAAGTTGCATTTAGCCATTAAATATATCCAAATGTAATTGTGTTGACTTCACAATGATAATCCCAAGACTCCAGTCACGATGATCCCGCATTGGGATGTTAGACCAAGTACATTAACGAGTGTTTTTTTTATTTCCGAGTATTAATGGTGATTATTCCATCGGGAGCCGCTAACATGGGAGCCGGATCGCTGAGCGCGTGATTTATCGTCGCACACTTGGTGGATGTGAATCATTCCGCTTTCAGAGATAAACACGTTTTGTGCTTCACATGTCGGTGGACAGAGGGCCATTGCAGCCAGGCATAGTCATCTGTATCGGTCGAGCCAATTGAATTATTCTTCCGCTTGTTTACCTGAAGAAGCCTCACCGAGTCTCAAGACTCTTTTTTCAGAAGTCCTGACACGTTTTCGCAGGAGGGTGCGTGATGTTTCTGCTGCGTATAATCCCACGTGAGTCATTTGCGGGTACATTTTCAGCATTGGACTGTTTGACCAACACCAGTTAGAGTGTGTGTTTTCTTCAACAATGGGAGGAAACACGGTCAACCGAGGGGAAACCCATGCAAACAGAGCAAGGGGAGAATACCAACTACACGCACACGTGTTACCACTGCGCCACGCTCAACAAAAGGGATACATTGAGAGCTCTACCATACTCAAGTGCCGATGATTAAGTCACCCCGCACGTGTCAAATCTCGCAAGTTAAGCAGGAATTGAGCCTGGATAGTGCTTAGATGGGCAAGCATTGTGAAAGAGGTGCTGTGATCATGTGCGATCTGATCGAAGTTTCAACCCATAAACACAAAAATCGCAGTGGGTTTCTGGCTCAAAGCAGCATGTGGTTAGATTCATCTCTTGTTTACAGCCCTGAGCCAACCGTGGAAATTCCACATTCCTATGGCAGAGATGAGTATATCCACAAGTTCCACACACAGAGATACAATATTTTATCGGCCTCAAAGAGATGAAGGACAGTGGACCGCTAACTGGGATTGCAACCCAATGTGTCACCCGGTGAGATGCATACACATAACAACAATGTGTATGTGTATACAAGTAATGCATACATCAACAAAGACGACAATTTATCTTAATGAATGCATTCGGGTGATATGACAAGACCTTTGTGTGTGCGTGTGTGCATGCGTGTGCAAGTATGTTTATGCATGCTTGCGTGTACGCATGTCCAAGTGTGTATGAGCATACGGTATATGTGTTTGTGGCGTGTGTGTTTGTACATGTGCACGTGTGTGTGTCTGTATATATGTGTATGTACATAGGTGCTCGCTAACAGCACTTGCCCCTACAGTCTGTTAAGGCTATATGGGGGATCTTTGTTTGTATATGTACATACATCTATGCGTATCTTGAAATGTCATTGTGTTTGAATCCTGTGTAATTCAAATTGTGTGAGTGTTTGTGTGCATGTGTATTATTTGTCTGTGTAAGTATGTACATGTGTAGTGACATCGCTGGATGTCACCAGGCTGTAGGTGCAGTACCGACCCTAGAGGGCACGGTCTGTGTCGACCTGAAGGGAAGGTCAGGTAAGGCCATGACAGCCGAGTTGACCCGGGAGAACACGTGACCGGTTAGAGGGGGCTGTGAGGGTCACGTGATGGGAACCGAGGTTCTTCGTGAAGATTCTGGAAAAGGGGCGTGGCCATGGACGGAGTCGGCCACGCCGGAGAGAATAAAAGCCGAGTCCCGAGAGGGATCTTGGCTGTCCGTCCCGGGGAAGAAACCTTTCGTCTACGATCTCCGATTTTCAGGTCTTCCAGCACGTGGACCCGGGCAGTATGCTGTTGGTCCCCATCCGAAGTTGATCGTTATCATGTAACATGTGTAGTTAGCCGGGGTGGTTACCACCCTAGGTCATTGTCTTGTTAAGGGGTAAAGTTACCCCGTTGTGTTAAAGTAATAAATGAGCTGCCTCCGAGTCTACGTGTGCGACTCAGTTGAACCCACTACAGATGTATATGTGTATGTGCACGCGTGTCTTTGCATACGTCCATGTCCGCATGCCCATGTATGTTCATGTATGTGTGAGCGCGCATGTGCGTGTGCGTGCGTGCAGTGTGTATTACGTACGTCGTATTTCTGTCTCTTGAGCTTCTCCTGCAGGTCAAACTTCTCCGACTCCAGATCGTAGAGCCACTGCCACAGCTCTTTGGCCTTCTCCCTGTTAACAGAGTAGACAGTCGATCTTCATCAGTTTTAATCCACAAATCCACAACATTTACAATCTGAGTACTGAGTGTGGATTTGCTCTGCAACACACCGGTGTGCTGTACTAGTAACGAATTGGCACGTTCTGTTTACGTGACAAACCTTACTAATTGGCTGTGTCAGGTGGTGGCGGGTTTAACGACACATTTATATATTTACGCGATATAACCCAAAAAAACCTGTATTATGGATGGTATTGGTCGTGAAAGCCCAATACGTGTTAAACTGATCCGTTTTAATATCAAACTATATTTTTGTTAAATGAAAGTTTTGGTGGTTGGCGCGCGGGCGGGCAAGTGCGCGTTGGTGACGCGTTGGCGATGTCACCGCTCACATCTCTGAGTCCCATAATAAATCCCCCCCCCCTCCTCAAGTTGTATTTGTATGTAAATTGTCTGGGATGTGACTGGAATAGAGATGTTATAGAAATGCAAATTGCATTGTATTCTATTATAACCATCGTCTTTTTAATGCTTTTCACGGCTGGTCGAAAGGTTCATTCATTCGCTCTCTCTATGTTCCGTTCGTCTGTCTGTGACAGGGGGGACACGGTAATCCTCATAAAGACAATCAATATGCAAATTACACTTTGGCATGAGTTGTGTTTCAATTATGGGCTTGCCCTACAAAAAAATCCAGCCAAGTTATGCCAAGATTTTCCCAAAAGTTCGAGACATAAAAACCAGTGCTAAAATTATTCAGAATTGGCGTTTGCACCCTGTCAGCCGAAAACCGACGACTCCACCTCCCACGATGTCATTACGTGTGACGTCAGGTGTCACACGCGCCATGCGACGTCTCGTCCTGAGGCTTGACATTCGACGTGAACGTGACTGCGAAGTCGTCGCGCCGTTGTTTGGACTCACTTGAGTTTGTCCTCTCCCAGGTGGTCGATGTTGAGCGGCTTGCGTCGGTCAGCCAGGATCTTCTTTTTCTTCTCCCGCTCCGTCTGCTTCTTACCGCGGCCCTTCTCCGCCTGCGGGGGGTGGGGGGGGGCACCACCGACACTTCGGTTCACGTGTGCACTCCCTTTTCCCTCCCCGTACAACCCAGCCACACGGGGCCGTGCCAGGCCAGGCCAGCTAAGCACGCCACAGGTTTGTTTTGTCCACTGCAGAACTCGCGCCGCGCTGCCAACGTTGCACGGGACGAACGCGCGAAGTCAGCATCGCACGGTCGAGCACACTGACTGACGTGACGCACGATCTTCTTGGTTTTTTCGGTAAAGTCACGTAGAAGGGAAGTAATAAAATAATAAAAATAAAACATAATTAAATAATTCTCACGACGTTTCGGCTACAATGCAAGCAGCCGTCTTCAGGTGAAGAATGAGACACTGCCAAGCTAGGAGCTTATATATAAGCTGAGTTGGAGGTGGAAGAAGAGCGCCTTAACAATTATTACCTCTGACCCTGCTTGACTTTGGGCCCGATTCCGATGTCTTTTGAGGCCAGAGTTTCGCAGTTCTGGCACAGCTCTGAAAATAGCCAGTGGAAAGCCACCCTGCTACCGTGAGGGCCGTAAGCTAGCGTGGCTTGGACGTGCCAGTGGTAATGGGGTAATCGGTACGGAAGCCTGTGTTTGCAATAACCATGTCGTTTGTGAATGCATTTTTTTTCTTTTTCCCAATTATACCCTGGTTATGCTATTGGTGTCATATCCTGAGACGGAGTATGCGTTCAGATCTCCGACAGAGATGTGTAACCCTTTGTATGAGAAAACGGCCCACGGAAACAGATATCACAGAACTACCTCTGAGATTGTGTCAAGTCAACTGTGGTCCCCACGATAAAGTAGGGCAGCACTTTCCCACCCACCTGCCCTGCTACATAGGTCAATGGTCATCGTGTAAGAGTGAAACTTACGTTTAAAATTTTCAGAGCTGGAACTTTGCCAAATTAAGTGTCCAACCAAAGTTAATGTGATGGGTATTTTTGTATGAGGCACCGGTTGTGGTGGTGGTGGTGGCAGCTGTGGGGAGTGGTAGTGTAGTAATTACCGCACGGCGCTACAAACGCAGCAACCCGAGTTCGAATCTCGCTCATGGCCACCAACACCAGTGACAATTATCTGAACCGGTTCCAGGCCTCACCTCGGTCGACTCAGCCTCAATTGAGTACCTGTTGCGGTGTATAAACATCGCCACTGGGGAGACAAAGGCGGCCGGGCGTGATGCTGACCACCCACCCCCCTCGTGCGCCATGCCGGCCCTTCGTAGGTGCTGCTCGCTAACGGTATTCGTCCCAAAAGTCTGTTATGGCTACACGGGGGATCTGTGTATTTGGTTGGCTGTGAGCCTGTGAGTGAACTTGCCTTCTGCAGGTAGCCACCGTACGCCGCTCCCATGTTGGACAGGGCCTTCTTCTTCATGATGTCATCCTCTGCCATCTTCCTCGCCCTGTCCTCCTCCTTGCGAGCCTTCTCGTCCTGTGTGAGCGGACAGAGCAGCCACTTTGCTCCGGCAACTTTTGTTTCTCATTCGGGGTAGTGGACGCTTGTGTTTACATGCTTTTAGTTGTGACCTACTAGGATACAAAGCATGTCTGATATTTATTGAGAAGAAGAATATCTCACAATTCCAGAAAAGTGGAAAAATAAATGTAATGAGTGGTGTATTATTATTATTATCCTACTGATAAAAACTGTGACTTTTACTGTCCCGCAGAAGACTTGTAGATTTACCCAGTACCAGAGGACAATTTTAGCAAAACCAGGACAACTGTCAACCATACTTCTACCCTAATGTGATTTTATGAAGAGTCTTAATGTGCTTTTGCGATTATCGACTCTTGTAAAATTAAAATGGTCGTTGTTGTTGTGAGGGAAACCAAGATGGCCAGCCCGCCATGGCTGGTTGAACCGTGCGGTTGCTCACAGCAATGCGGGCCTGGCGCTCCTTGTCTTTCTCGGTGCGGATTCTCTGCTGATCCGAGCGCTCGGTTCTGCGCTTCTCCTGCAGGAGGAGGAGGAGACGACATTAGGATGATGGCCGCCGAGTTGAGGTGGCGTCAACAGTGGTGGCGGTGACACGGGGGCAAGAGGTTATACAGTTTAGAACGGTAACTCAGGGTTCAAGTTTATTTAATTGGGTGCCACGGTGGCGAGAGGTTAACTACCTTGCCTAGTATACAGGTGATTGTGGGTTCGATCCAGAACCTGACACCTGTATATTTGGAGTTTGCATGTTCTCCCGGTGGTCACAGGGATTTTTCTCCGGGTCGTCCGCTTTTTCTCTCGACATTTAGAATCAACATGCGTTTAGAGTATCTGGCTGCTGTGAATTTCCACATGATAAGCCAATTCGTCGAGCTATAATTTTGTGGCCAGGTCGCTTCTGGAAAAAAAGCTACCATAGCTCAGTGAGCCTTACCTGGTAAAAATACAAGTTTAGTTTAATTCAACCAGGTGAGAACCCAAGAGGTAAGGAGAGTGTCCTCCTCCATAACTAACTGTGTTTACAAATCAAAATGGTCGCCGATGGCTGATGGCTGTCCTTACGATTCTCTCCTTGAGGGCGATGAGTTCCTCTTCCTCCTGTTTCCTGTTGTCGAAGTGCGAGTCGATCAGACCCTGCAGCTCCATGAAGTCCTTCTCCAGACGCTTGCGATGGATGTCCTGCGGTCGGGTGGAGATGGTGGGGGGGGGCAGACGAATGTGCTCAGTCGTCTCGAGCCGCCGTGCACGGCATGACCAGAAACCCGGGGGTGCCTTTTGAGATAAGCGTTTGCGCCTCCTGAACTCTGACATGGCACTGGTGATGAGCGTGTGCGAGGCCTGGGAGCCGTCGTTGATCTTACAAGGCATCTCTACTCTGCATAGCCTCGTATCTCCACGTCCACAGCGTCTCCCACATCAGCCATTTATTTAACTCACTCCAGTTGCCCTAAACACCCTCATCCATGCCTTCAATAACTTCCAACTCGACCGTTGGAGCGCTCTCCTCTACGTTTTTTTCTAAAATCCATCACCTCCAAACTCCAGATGATAAAAACTGTATCTGCCAGAATCTTAACTTACACCTATAATAAGGACCACATTACCCCAATATTCCAATCTCTCCACTGGCTCCCAACCCGATCCCGGATTCATTCAATATATCACCATCTTCATGATCCTCCGTGGACTCAACAATGCCCTATCTCTCACTCTGCTGCTCTCCTCGTACTCTCCTACCTCCCCCCCCCTCATCTTTCTCTCTCTCTACTCCCCTCCACGTACGATCCTTTCCATCAATCAAAACTTTCTGTCGAATCCCCCAGTCAGCTTTCGCTCAGCGGGACGATACTTGTTCACTTCTGCTCTCTCCCCATAGGCTGAACCTCCCCTTTCCAAGCCATCGGTGCTGTCAACTCCCTATCAGTACCTGAATTCCAGGCTGCAGACATCTGAATCTGCCTTTGTCGATAAAATCAAATCGTCGGCTGCCTCTGTACGGCGTGTTTTGAACCATTCGTAAATCCACATTGTCCTCGTATTGCATAGCAGAGAGAGAGAGGAAGAGATGCGAGAGATTCGGACAGTTGGGCAACTTACATCAAAGTCCACCCTCTCTCCATCGGGGATTTTGGGAGCGACGATCTGGGGCACAACAAACCTGTAACGGGAGAAATGTTCACGATAAACCCGAGCGTCCACCGACACCCACAGAAGCCACGCCATAATCATTCTGAAAAAGATCAACTTGGGATTTACGATGTTCAATGCCAGACTTGAGCACTCACCCTCAAATACTCCACGCAGGAAAACAATCTTACTTATCGGACTCTGCGTATGTGGGTTGAAAAGTCAACGTACATCTGTATGGTATTCACATGAACCTGGTAAATTCTTATCGATCATTGAGTTCATATCGATCATGTCTGTTGGGTGCGGTTCAAGTGTTTGCAGAGGGTCATAAGATAAACACCATCATTATAGTAATGCCAATAATTTACCCAGGAAAGCCTCACTGGGTCTCAAGACTGTTTTTCGGAGGGTCTCGTATTGGAACTTATGGCCAATTCCATGAACGAGTGTTTGGCATTCGGGAAAAAAACAGGAGAACCCGGAGAAAACCCACCACGCATACGAGGATGGTGACACTCAACACTGCCATCTCCTGGCCATGTCACAGCCCCGTGTCTAGAGCACCTGGCTAGCCCTGGCAGTAGTCACCCCATTCCAGCAATGACCGAGCTCAATCCTGCTTAGCGAAATACGACGGGATCAGGCGCATTTATGGTGATTTTGCCGTCGGTAAATTTGCTCAAAAGGCACATGCGACCGCGTGATACAACCGTATGCAATAATATTACTTCAACTTACTTTTGCTTGGGCTTTCCTTTTGCCAGCCAGGGAGGGTGCAAGAGATTGAGAGAAAACAAGAAACATTAGATTGCAATTTCCAGCAAGGGCTGCTGCTAGGCAACAGCGGCATAGCTATCGAGGGGCCGTCCATAAATGACGTCACGCGATTCTGGAAGATTTTTACCCCCTCCCCCTCGTCACACGGCGTCACAAAAAGTCAGACCCCCCCCCCCCCCACAAATGTGACGTCACAAAGCTCTGCCCCCCCCCCCAACCATATTTCCATTTTGAAAATAAAATATGCTTCGAATCGTTTTAAACTATTGTCATTGTAGTGCGTATTTAATGTGGCGCTGCACTCTGCTGTTGTAGGATAAAACATTTATATAAAAAGTCTATTTAAGTAGAACGTGTTATTTACATTTAAAGTAGCGCATTTTGATGTGACGTCACATTTCTCAAACCCCCCCCCCTCGTCACACATCGTCACAAATGTCTGAACCCCCCCCCTAGGTGCGTGACGTCATTTATGGACGGCCCCCGATCGTGTAGGGAATGCAATTGCACCGCGTGCCTGGCGACTGAAGAAGGGAGAAGTTGTACTGTGGAGGGACCCCATTCATACCCTGGGCCCATTTCAACCACGCCACTGCCCAGTGACCTGCCCTTACATCTGGCAGTCTGTTTGCATGTGCGTTTGTGTTTGACAAACACTTGAGGCTTGTGAACGTTAACTGAAGCGCAATTCTTCGACCACGTACTATCAAACAAACAAAACAAACTTTAATTTTACCAGGTAAGGCCCACTGTGCTACACAGCTCTTTGTCAGAAGCGACACGGTCACAAATTGTAGCTCAACGAAGTGGCTTATCACGTGGAAATGCATAGCAGCCAAATGCTCTAAACGCGTGACGTTGATTCTAAGTGTGGAGAGAAAAACCGGAGGACCCGGAGAAAAATCCACGCGACCACGGGGAGAGAGGCACGTAAACTCCAAATATACAGCAGGCGTCAGGGTCGGAACCACGACCTCCTGTATACCAGGCGAGGTATTTAACATCTCGCCATCGTGGCATTACAGTCTACAATATAAGGAGGCTCAAGGTCATGGCTGTAGGCAAACCAACGACAATGGAACGGGGTTTAGCCGTACGTATGTTTACAGTGGGGATGTGTTCCCAATTCCCGAATAAATCCAAAACATCGCACCCAGACACAAAGTGTCGGGTGATCCGAGAAAAAGAGATTTTGATTGATCCGAAAGCCTGACGACACAGGGCACTTTCGCGTCACAAATGACGCCACGTCCGCTTTCTCCCCCCCCCCCCCCCCGTGAAAAGTGACGTCACCGCGTCATTAAATTATCGCATCGTGTCATTTACCACATCCGAAATACAGTCATCCGTAGTATATTCATACGTGCGTGTTGGCCCCGTGTGTTAACTCGTGTAAGTACGCACAGACCCGTTGTCTATCTACTGCTGGATGCCCCCCCCCCCCATACACACGCCGTGCACGGTCGTGGGGGTTATTTGACCATACTTCACCACGTTGGTCATTGGTGTAAGGCGTAAGAGCATAGACGTTGAAGCATAGTGCAGGGCAACAAGTGAGGACTTTGCTACACTGCCCTCTGCTGACAACCTATCCCCACAGCAGTCTACACGAGTGCTGGCCAGGCTGAAGCCTGCTTAGCGTCTGACAAGACCGGGCAGACTCCTGGGTGATTTGGTCATAGGTTTAGTTGTAGTTTTGTTCGATTTGCGTAAACATGCACATTGAGTCAGGGTATAAGGGCTCTTATTGTGCAAAGACAAATTACGACCAAAAAAAATCTTCGAAGCTCATCGGATTCCTCCAGTCTAAATTAAGATGCTGGTTTCGATGCAACTCGATTCGGTTAGATTATCTGCACGGCCGTGTACAGCGTGAAGCAGCGTTATCACATGTTGCGTATTGTCAGAGGCCGCACTAAAGGCGACCAGGAGCAGCCAGTGGCCCGCGGGCCTTGCAATCACTCTGTAACACGATTTTTGTTGCTGGGTAGTAAGTGTTATTTTGTAATTGCCTATGCCTAAAAAGTATAGAAAATGGCTATTATTCCCCACAAACTTTGCTTTTCTGACCAGGACTTGATGTGAAGGAATGACACAAATGCGCACGTTTTCTCATTGAAAATAGGTCGATTTCAAAATATCAATGTCCTGGTCACAAAAGCAACGTTTGTGGGGAATAATAGCCATTTTATGTACTTTTGAGGCATAAGCAATTATAAAATAACACTTACTACCCAGGAACAAAAAACATATTTTGTTACACAGTGAGATCACCGGGGTAAAGCAACGTCTCGCACGCGCAGTCACGCGTTACACCACTCTTGTACCTTCCTCTCCTAAGTGTGGGTTTGATGTTGTTGGTTGGTTGGTGGTGGTGGTCGATTGTTGGTGGTCATGGTGGAGCAGCCATGAGCATGGTGGAGGGTGAGGAGGGAGGTTGACAGGGGAACGCAAAGCAACATGGTCCATCAGCGCCACGTGCACAGAAGCACATGCGGCGACGCACGTAGGCACGTGTGTCTCTCATCATCATAATCATCATCGCCATCATCCAACACTGTCAGACATGATCAATCCACTACTGGATGAGGTCCTCCGGCTGCAGCCGTCATAATTTAATGGGTCATTTTTTTCTTTCTCATCACCACGCAAGCCAATGAAGGGAAGAGTCGGGACAGCAAACGACCGTTGTGTGGATGGAGCGATGCAGTCGGCTGGTGTGCAACAGGAAGATTGCCACATCAAGAGACCCTTCGGGATGGCAACGGCTTGGAGAAACTTTCATCCAGCAGTGGATAGATCGTGGCCGATGATGATAACTGATGAACGTGAATCGCCATGATCTGAATATACATTTCGATTTAAAGCTTTCGTGACTGCAGGGATTCATCTTCTTGTTTCTTTCGGTAAAGTCACGTAGAAGGGAAGTAATAAAATAATAAAAATAAAACATAATAAAACAATTCTCACGACGTTTCGGCTACAACGCAAGCAGCCGTCTTCAGGTGAAGAATGAGACACTACCAAACTAGGAGCTTGTATATAAGCTGCATTGGGGGTTGAAGAGCGCCTTAACAAAAAGAATGTGCATGTGAAGAGGGATTTAGCATATTCATGGTAAATGCGTAGGCGTTGGGCGGGGGGGTGTCAAAGTCATATTATGCCCATGCATTATGCAGGATCAGCAGCAACCAAGGGGGGTGCAGGGATTAGCAGTAACAAAGGAAAGGAATGTTAATGATATGTAGCTGCAGTTACTCAACAACCACGTAGAAAACTAAAGTATAAACTACATAAAAAACTAAAGTATAAACTGCATCGCACCATCAGTATACTTACTATACTCTATAATAAGCTGAGTTACTAACAGCAAGTAATACATTACAATTTTACCTCGTAAAAATTCTATAATATGCTTCCATCTAAACCTTATTCTCTTACATCACACGAGCATATACCGTACTATATACTGCCATAGATAAACCCAACATTAAATTATATACTGTATTGCTGTAAACCAACCTATATCTTATACATTTAATATCACACTATGTATTATTCTACACACCCTAATGTGTATCGAAATGGTTTATTACGTCCTTCCAATGATTGCTGAGCCAGAATCCATCTTCTCGGTTAAAGTTGTCTCTGTGTTTGTATATGTGGATCGCCTCATGAACGAATCTCTCATGATAGCCAGATGGCTTGCAGAGAACCTCTGTCTTGGAGAAGTCAATATCATGTGAGCCCACTGAGTTGTAACAGTGATCTGCCACGGCTGAGGTGTTAGTCCTACCGTGTTTCAGGTCAGCTTTATGTTCACGGATGCGGTCCGAGACATGTCGTTTGGTTTCCCCAATGTAACTGCTACCACAGAGGAAACTTAGTTTGTAGACGCCAGGGTACTGTATGTCTGGAACCACATCTTTTACAGACGGTACCAGATCACGGATTTTATGTACTGTGTTGAATCGGACCTGGATCTTGTGTTTAATCAGGATTTTGGAGATCTTTTTTGTGACCCCAGCAATGTAGGGTAAGGTGATGGTCTTGAAAGGCTCCTCAACAGGATCCTTCTTGATGGTTGGAGTGATGGCTTTGCGGATTGTATAGTCGGAGTAACCATTTGCCTTAAGAGCTTGGCGTACGTGTTTGAGTTCACTGGAAATGTGTTCATGGTCGGAGATGCATTGGGCTCTATGATATAGAGTCTTGATGAGGGAATTCTTCTGAGATGGATGGTGGTGGGAATCCGGTTTTAGATAAGCATCCGTGTGGGTGGCTTTCCTGTAGACAGAGTGGCTCATTGAACCATCAGGTCTCCTTTTGATTAGGACATCCAAAAAGGGTAGTAATTGGTCTAGAGCAGGCCGGCCACATGGCCGGCCTGCTCTAGACCAATTTCTCGACCACATCAATTCCATACACCCAGCCATCAGATTCACCATGGAAGTCGAAAATGATGGCAAGCTACCCTTTTTGGATGTCCTAATCAAAAGGAGACCTGATGGTTCAATGAGCCACTCTGTCTACAGGAAAGCCACCCACACGGATGCTTATCTAAAACCGGATTCCCACCACCATCCATCTCAGAAGAATTCCCTCATCAAGACTCTATATCATAGAGCCCAATGCATCTCCGACCATGAACACATTTCCAGTGAACTCAAACACGTACGCCAAGCTCTTAAGGCAAATGGTTACTCCGACTATACAATCCGCAAAGCCATCACTCCAACCATCAAGAAGGATCCTGTTGAGGAGCCTTTCAAGACCATCACCTTACCCTACATTGCTGGGGTCACAAAAAAGATCTCCAAAATCCTGATTAAACACAAGATCCAGGTCCGATTCAACACAGTACATAAAATCCGTGATCTGGTACCGTCTGTAAAAGATGTGGTTCCAGACATACAGTACCCTGGCGTCTACAAACTAAGTTGCCTCTGTGGTAGCAGTTACATTGGGGAAACCAAACGACATGTCTCGGACCGCATCCGTGAACATAAAGCTGACCTGAAACACGGTAGGACTAACACCTCAGCCGTGGCAGATCACTGTTACAACTCAGTGG